GTGGTCGCCTCAGTTGTAGTAGTCGTGGTCGGCTCAGTCGTGGTCGTAGTGGTCGTGGTCGGCTCAGTCGTAGTCGTAGTGGTCGTGGTCGTGGTCGGCTCAGTCGTAGTCGTAGTGGTCGTGGTCGTCTCAGTTGTAGTCGTAATAGTCGTGGCTGCGTCCCCGAGCTTAATGAGAAGGTCCGTGGTGGTCAGGGGGTCGGTGAGAAGAACCGTGGTGGTCAGGGGGTCGGTGAGAAGAAAAGTGGTGGTCAGGGGGTCGGTGAGAAGATCGGTGGTCATGGGGTCGGTGAGAATATCGGCGGTGGCCAGGGGGTCGGTGAGAAGATCAGCGGCGGTCAGGGGGTGGGTGAGAAGATCAGTGGTGGTCGGGGGGTCGGTGAGAAGATCAGTAGTGGTCAGGGGGTCGGTGAGAAGATCAGCGGTGGTGGGGAGAAGCCGGGTGAGGGGTTGAGAGGCGGTGGTGGCTTCTTCGGTCGGGGTGACTAGGTTGCGGGAGGTCGCGTCCGTGAGCGTTTTAATTCCGGCCAGAACGGCGTCGCCGACCGAGTCCGTGTCGACGGGAATGACGGCGAACTGGTTGTGTCTCAGCCGCGCCTGATTTGCCCAGAGGTCAACCCACCAGTCGACCTTGCTTTCGGCGGCGAGGACGAGCGGAACGACTTTGTAGGTCCTGATGGCGTGAACGAGTTGCTCCACGGTGGGGTACCAGACGCCGGAGTCGCAGGTAACGGCGTCTTGGGCGTTCTTGTTGAAGACAGACTGTTCGTCTTCTGACCAACGGGAGCAAAAAGGGCATTCCGTTCCCTTACGGGTACCGAGGTCCTTGTGGATGCCGTTATGTTTGAGGGTAACATGGTGGGTATCATGCTGGGTGTCACGGTGGGTATCATAGTGGGTATCATGGTGGGTACCATGGTAGGGGCAGTCCATTCCGTGGTACTTGCCCCAGTCTTCTGTAATTACAACAAACACATTTAAGGTATCTTCTGACTCATCGAATTGGTGTTTCGCCACGAACGGCAAAGCCGAGAGCGCGTCTCCCGGCCAGCCTCGGCTTCCTAACGAGCTGTGGACGGACAGGGCGGCTGCAGTCGTCGACACCTTCTCGTCAAACGCCGCCTTCCCTCCCATGTCCACCACGGACAAATAACACCAGGGTTCAAATCGGTCATTGAACAAAGACACACCAAAATCAAAATCATCAATACTGGAGTTTAACTTGTTCAAAACTTCAGTTATGTACGTTACTGGATCAGTCAACCCGAAGGCTCCATCTTGATTGATCCAAACACGGACAGGCGGCATCGGACAATCATCACATATGAGATCTCCGTCATTGGTCTGTTTGCCTGCAAGGCTCTTGGCACATGCTTCATACGCTCCTAAAACAACACCCACTGTAATCCCTCGCCACTTCATTGTATCGCAATTTTTTACTGCCCACCACCAGCCAGGCTAATAAGTGCAGAGACATAACATAAAGATTTAATTTCGGCCCACCATTATTAATGGTATACCATTGCTGACCACCCAGATCCCTTGCCCACCTAGATCGCACTCGTGGGGCCCAGCCACTGATCGTGGGGCCCAGCCACTGACTTACTCACCGACCACCAAACCCTGCCGACCACGCAACCTCACCGACCTCGCTAACGACCAATGGTCCTGAGCACCAACAACCCTAACAGCCCATCCATCGTCATCAACGACCGACAAATCATCAACGACCCGGCCAACACCGACAACTCAACCCACCCACCTTCCACTGCAGGGAGAACACCTCTAGAAGAAACAAACACGAAAGATCCCGAGGCCTGTGTCGTCGATGCGCGGGGTGTGGAGTACGCACCACTTTATGCACCACCGCGGTCGCACCATTGCAGACACCACAAAGGACATTAAGGTATGAACGGTTTGTACCACCGCGGCGCGTCGGCGACTTCGCCTTCGCATTCCTCTGAGCGGGCGATCGAGGACAAGAGCTTGCGCCGGTTCCGGTTGCGTTGGTTCCTGGGTCTGTTCCTGCTGTTCTGGGCCTGTGCGCCATTGTTGATGAGCTTGTGCGGTCGGCTGGTTGTCAGCAACCCTGAACTAGATGGCGAGTTAAAATTGGCTTTGTGTAGGGTGACTGTTGGTCTCAGCGGTGCCTCCATCCGCACGGAGAACTACAACCGCTGTGCGTCCATCCTTGGCACCACTGCCATTGACTCGTTTGCCGCCCACCCCAGAGCCAAGTGGCTCTGCCAAAATGGCAGCGTCAAAAACAGCTTCCACTGGCAACCCATTGCCGTGGCAATCGCCCTGGTCGTGCGCTTCGCGGCATTTGTGGCCGTGCCTTACCCGCTGTCCAAGAAGTCCCCTTTTTTTGCCCACTCGGCAACCTGGAGGAGGTGCATGGCCGTCCTCTCTCTCTCCGCCACGTTCCTCTTCCTCTATCTCCTCAACTCCTTGGCTTCCGAAACTCTCGACCACTACAAATGTTTGACCCTACTCGCCACCCCTGACACCAAGGTCAGCTACCGGATGGGTTCAGCTGTCGTATACGACGATTCGATGTTGGACCATTACCTCCCGTACATCCACTTCGGGGTTCTGCTTTTCTGGGACCTCATCAACACCATTCTTCAACTCCTATAAAGCGCCCATCATCGGACCTGTCCATCATCCGACACGCCCATCATCTGACACGCCCTTCAACCAGTCCACGGGCAATGTTCCACCACCGACAATGTTCCACCACCGGGTGGTTGACCAACAGTGGTGCCGGTCGTCAACGGTGAAGGGACGCGGTCAACCTGGTGTATCGCGCCCCTTGCCGAGCCAACCGCCCCTTGCCAGTTTTGCTTATCAACCGAATCCACCCAGCCGATCCTTATCAACTGAACCCACCCAGCCGATGATCCCTGTCAACTCAACCCCGACGGACCTCACTCGTCAATAACGAATCGTCCATCAACAACCCCAACTGCCCGGCTACTAACCAACCAACCAACCCGACACTGAAGAAGAAACCCGCCACACTGAGGTGAAGGACCAGGGTGTGCGGATTGCGCACCATTTTGTGTGGTTGCAGGCGCGCAGCGGCGCACGTGAGGATTGAAACAAAGGAAGTTGAAGGATGAACGGTTTATCTCATCGCGAGAAATCCGCAATCGTTATCTCGCCTTCGCATTCCTCTGAGCGGGCGAGTGAGGACAAGAGGTCGCACCAGTCAGTACCAGGTGCGTTGGCTCGTGGGTCTGTTCCTTCTGTTCTGGGCATGTTCGCCGTTGCTGATGGGCTCGTGTGGTCGTCTCGTGTTCCGCAACCCTGCACTGGGTCGCGACCTCTTATTGGCTTTGTGCAGGATGGCTGTAGGTCTCGGCGGCCCCTCCATTAACGTTTTGGAAGCGTTAGCCCGCCGCCCGCTGCGCGAGCATTGTCAGCCCTACCACCTTAGACTCGCTCGTCGCCTATCCCAGAGCGAGTGGCGCTGCCAAAACGGCAATGTGAAACGCAGTTTCCACTGGCAACCCATTGCCGTAGCATAGCACTCGCCCTGTACGTGCGGTTCGCAGCATTCGTGGCCGTGCCCGACCCGCCGTCCGCCTTCCTCGCCCGCTCGGCAACCTAGAGGAGATGCGTAGCCCTACTCTCTATCTCCGCCACGTTCCTCTTCATCCACCTCCTCGACTCTATCGTCGCCGAAACTTTGAACCACTACACATGCTTGGCTCTACTCGCTACCCCTGATGTCAATGTCGAGTACAAGTTGGGTACAGGCGTCGCATCCAGCATCATGCTTGTCCTGGACCTCATCAATACCATTCTGCAAGTTCTATAAATCATGTGGCCCCGTCTTCTGGCTCGGTATTCATATGACCTGCCCGGACCCGTTAAACACGGGCCACCAACATTCGGTCCCACCAACATTTGGGACGTGGCGAGGGTCAGGGCTGGCGAGGTCCATCTCCAGAGTAACCGACCCTCTTCTCAATATTTTAAGAAAGAGGAAGGAAGCGCAAGGGGGCGATGTCAAAACCACTCCTTGAAACGCAGTATCCGAACGCTCTAAGGGCGAAGCATCTGCTGGAGCAAGCTCTGAAAGCGATCAAGACCAGCCGTACGCGACACTCCTGCCGGTCGGTGTTCCACCCTACCCCACCCACCCTAGGGCGGCTGGACGTAAGGCGGCTGGCCACGGCGACTGAGCGGGGCGGCTGAGCGGGGCGACTGAGCGTGACGACTAAACTGTCCTTGTAGCGGGGCTGATGAACGTGGCGCGCATGCAGCAAGTGGCCGGGCAAGTGAGCGCCTTGAATGTGGCGCTGCAGGAGTTGCAGGCACTTTTCGACGAGTTTAAGAAGATGCAGCCGGCCAACTCGGTGGCCGTCTGGGAAAGCCGCATCAAGCGCACGTTGGCCGACTCGCGACTGCTCGAGAATGAGGCGCGCCAACTGCTCACTGCCAGCGGCCACGAGAGAAGCTACCTCCTCGACGGAGCCGTCCGCGACGTAACGAACACGAACACCAACTGTGTGTCGAGAACGAATTAACATTATGTGGGGCTCGTGTGCACCGACACTGTGTGCACGGGTGGTGACAAGGGCGCCGGCACGGACGCTGGCACTCGGGTCCGGGCATTCGGGTCCGGGCATTCGGGTCCGGGCACTCGGGTCCGGGCACTCGGGTCCACGCTGGTACAGATCTGTTTGTGTTGCAGAGGTCGCCGCAGGAGGACGTGTTACGGGAGGCGGAGGTGCTGGACGAATCGCTGAGCATGGTGGAGCAAGCCATTCTGTCGGGACGCGAAAGTGCCCGACGGCTGCACGGCCAAAACCGGACGCTCAAAAGTGCCCATCGGCGTGTTCGGAGTGCACTACAGTCCGCCGGCGTCTCGCTGGGCGTCATCAACGCCGTCGAGCGCCGCATCGGCCTCGACCGCGCCCTCGTGGCCGTGGGCATGTTCGTCACTCTGCTCGCCATCTACCTCTTCTTCTGCTGGTGGAAGACACTCAGCCCTTTATGGTTTGTGCAGCTCATCCACAACAAATCCTAGGCCAGTCAACTGGGCCCAGCACTCCCCGGGGGTGTACTCTAGAGCACACCTCGTACTCTAGAGCACACCTCGTACTCTAGAGCACACCTCGTACTCTAGAGCACACCTCGTACTCTCCGCTCCGATCCTGCGGGGTCCGACCTGAATCCCATTCAGACAAAGAGCCACCTCAGGCTTTGTATGTCATTTTTAGAAGGAACGATAGATTTCAACCCTGGTTTTGACAGAAAAGATTCGGTGTTGGCAGCTTGGGTTTTGACAGAAAAGAACCGACGTCCGCCAGCCTGGCCAGCCTGACCGTCCGACTTCCAGCTTTGTCGGCCTTCAAGAAAAGCAGCTTTCTACTGAGGTGGCGGTGGTTCAGCCTTGGTTTTCGGTTTTCATGTCCGGGGTGATGGTGACGTTGTCTCTGCCGTCGTCCATGGGTAGGTCTTGCGCGGTTATGCCATCGGCCGGGTGATCCTGAGCAGCAGCCTGAAGAGCCGCTTGCTCAGCTTTTTTACGCTCAACTTCAGCCACTCGCGCAGCTTCTTCAGCATGGCGGCGAGCCTCTTCCTCTTGCTTGCGGGCCTCCTCTTCTTTTCGAAACCATTCCTGGTAGCGTGTTTCGACGGGGGTCCAGACCTTGTTGAGGCGGTCTACATAAGGTTGGTACTCGGCGACGGAGAGTCCGTCGTTATCTTCAGCGAACTGTTCGCAGAGGTCTGACTCGGTTTGGATGACTGTGCGGTCGGCATCGGTGACGAAAGGGAAGTACTTGGAATCGCATTGGAGCGCGTTGCGCATCTGGAAGGACATGGAAAGGATGTCATTACGCATTGCACGTGCTGCCTGAGTTTCATGGTCGCGCTTGCACTCCTCCACCTCGCGCTGCAACAGCTTGCTCTTCTCGTCTGCGCGAGCGAATCCCACTCCGGGAACGGCTGCGGCCAGGACTACGTGCTTCCGTACGATGACCTTCGGCCGCTTCGACTTGACTTCCTCGAACTCGCCCTCCACAATGTCGCCCTTCTCATCCTTTTTCGGGAACCGCTCCACAAACTCTTCCTCCGTCACAACTTCGTGTTCGAACACGCCCCCGACCGAGACCAACCCGTGTACGTCCAAGGCCACCCGGACGCGCAACCGACATTTCTTCACGTCTTCCGCGATCGCCTTTTTGACGTCTGCGTTCATTTCCAGGCGCTGCCTACTTACCACACGGTAGGTCGTGTGCGAGGCGGCCGCCGCCTCAGCCGCAGACGCGTATACGGTGCGGTAGTTGACGACGTCGAACTCAATGGCGTTTACGTTCACGCCGGGAGTGGGGAGCGTGATGGTGCGTTCGGCGACGTTGTGGAACTCCATGCCCTCAGCGAAGACGAGCAAGTCGCTGCCATCGATGAGCACCGGCTTCTTGTTCTCGTCGACCAGCTTCTCTGCCGGGAACTGGCCGGCGAAACGTAAAATGACGCCCTCAGGACGCACCTCGCGCATCTCGTAAGGCGCCACGCGGTGTCGTGGGTCGAGCATGGCCGCCTGCACAGCCGCACCACGAGCCACACACTCGTCGGCCGATAG